TGTTTAAAGAATCAGTAACCGAATTTTTTAGATTATTTTACGATTCAGGGTACCCAATTAGGCTGCGCTGAAATTTTCAAGTCAATTGGTCTATTCAGTTACGCGCAATTACGCAAAGTATACCGCCACCCGGGGCGGGGGCGAATCCCCGCCCCGCGCGCTCGGGGCGGGGCGAATCCCCAACCCTAATTTCGCGCCTAGGAGGGGGCATGGCCTATGGGTACCATGGTCAAAAGTTTTAGAGTAGCCCCTATACCCACCACATACAATATCAGCTTATACGACCATTTTGATTTTTTTTCCATTGCCATCACCTGTTGACCCGATCTCAATTCTCTCAGAGAATGTGTCTTAAATTCAATTACAGTGGCGAGAAGTGGTGTGGAGAATTTTTTCGAACATTCATAACTTTGTTCAAAATGGCTCAATTGACTTGAAAATTTGCATGAGAATATCAGTAAAATCCAAAAACATATAAATCGGTTTTTTGAAAATTTCTCATTTTCTGAATTTTCAGAGCAGTTTCAGATATAACAGTGGTCAGAGAATCCAACAAAAACTTTTTTTCAGAATTTTTCCTGGCTTTGATTTTAGATGTCAAATGATTTTCAGTGTCCAAATATGCACGAAAAAAATTTTGTAGAATTTTGGAAGTCGGGTTTTCGAGTTATGATGCTCAGAGCACAAAACGTATGTGTATTTTTGCCATAACTGAGCTGAAAATGTATTTCTGATGCTCCAAATCTCACAAATGATGTGTTTTGAGTTGGTTATCAGTGTCAAAAGTTTATGTCAAAAGTTTTTCAATTGTAGAACAAATTTTTTTTTCCTTTTTTATTCTCACTAAATTTTTTCTAGAGGTGAAAAAAATGAAAAAAAATTTATTACGAACAACTCAAAACAAATCATTTGTGAGATTTGGAGCATCAGAAATACATTTTCAGCTCAGTTATGGCAAAAATACACATACGTTTTGTGCTCTGAGCATCATAACTCGAAAACCCGACTTCCAAAATTCTACAAAATTTTTTTCGTGCATATTTGGACACTGAAAATCATTTGACATCTAAAATCAAAACCAGAAAAAATTCTGAAAAAAGTTTTTTTGGATTCTGCGCACCACTGTTATATCTGAAACTG